GCGATAGTCAAAGTCACAACTACCGTTCCCCGGTAGTTGTGACTGCTGGGGCTCCAGAGGCCGTGACTGGGGTTCATTACTATGTCTACTCCTGATCTCGACAGTGGAGCTGTATGGTGGTGATTGCAAGGTAGCTGTTGCCGTGCCATGCTACGAGAGTAGAAGTTGAGGTAACAGGAGTTGGTTAGGCAGGATGGGTGGGTGTGGGTTGTATGCATTATTTGGCGAGCATATGCCGTGGCCGCAGGAATGGCGGTGGTGGTCGTGGTAGTGTAGCCAGGTTCTGGGGTCGTCCCGTACTACTGTACGTCCTCCTAAGCGTACGAATCGTACGCTTAGGAGGATGAATCGAGTGCGCAAGCTCCAACGTAGCGGTGGCGTGGTAGTCACGGAGAGCCGAAGCGCGAGCGCCAGGTAAGCTCAGAACGATGGCGTACTAGTAGTACGTCATCAAACAAGTATCGTCTTGAAAGCTTGAAGATCAAACGCGATGCATGAAAATACCTATTTTCTAGCGATGTGATTGGCCCAATGAAACGTAGTGCAATATGCATTACGTTTTCCCTATTTGCTTGAACAAATAGTTTCTCAAATTTAATCACTAGGCATTTGTAAGTGAAATTAATTAAATCCTGGCCAATTCGTTTTCAACAAATCGAAAATATAATGCGTTGTGCACTACGATGCCGTTATTTTCGCCCATATTTCATGTCATTTTCTGGATTACCGGTATGTGCAATATTTTCCCAACTTAACGTTACTGTACTTCACTGAGGACTCGAGGTACCAACCATCCAATTCACATCGTATCGAGTTGAAAAGGGTCTGGGCCATAAGTGGGACACACGTCCAACAGTCACACTCTCGTGATGGTCAAATCGCACATTGTTTGCTGCTGGTCATCGTCCCAGCACCGTCAAGATCCTCAATTAAGATGTGATGACTACTGACCACCCCGTTCTGTACCCTTAACGTTAGCACCTTCAAAGTTCGTACAGTACCGGTACTTCCTAGGCGGCTCGACGTGAAACAATGAAATCATTGGTCGTGCTACGAGCTGAGTGTCCTGCTGTTGGCTATGATTTACTCGGACAGAGGGTCACGTGGTGTGGTGTCGTTGCTATAACGTGACTCCTTAGAGGGACAGAATACAAGATTATATTTTTGTATTCAATCTCATTCGTGATTAAACTTGATAAATCTATGGGAGTGGCCCACGACCAAGTTCATCGATCAATGAAACATCAATATTTTCAGTGGCATAGCGAATTTGTAAGCAACTGGACATGATATCCTTATGTTGGTCGTCGGGTCGCTCCCTTTCAGGTGGCAGCGTCGTCGACATGGTCACCGAGAGTTCACATTTCAACATTTCCAGTGCAGTCAAGAACACGAAGATGGGCAACTCTAACCAGAAACCAGCTACGACGTCGGCTGCTTCTTCACCCACTACCCTCGCAACGCCCTCGATCGACGTCGCCACAACCCCACTCTTGGTCCACGTGCCGCTCAGTTTGGAAAACGCCGACGCCAGCGAGATGCAGCAACTCGCCGACGACGTCTGCGTTGCCTTGCGAGCACGAGTTGCCGGCTACGACGACATCAATGTCGACGACTTGGTGCTCACGCACTTGACTGGTGCCATGACCAACGTGATCTTCACCTGCCACAAGAAGTCCGCGCCCGAAGACCGAGTGCTGCTTCGTCTGTACGGGGCCGGCACGGAAGCATTCTTCTCCCGCCAAGAAGAGATCCTCGTGTTTAAGGAACTGTCCCTGTTAAACCTTGGCATTGGGTTGGTCGGGGAGTTCCAAAACGGCCGCTTCGAGCGCATGATCGAGGGCCGTACGTGCACTGCAGAAGACATCCGACGCCCAGAGCTCTCGGAAATGATCGCTGCGAAGATGGCCGTGTTCCACACGACCCAAGTTGACATGGACCGCAAGCCACGCATCCTCGCGAGCATCCGCAAGCTATTCAAGGACGCCCAGGCCGCGTATGCGACGACCCATCGGCAGTTTCCTGACGTGGACGCCATGGCGGCGGACATTGCCGCGCTGGAGGCGCTGCTGGCGACCGTGGACTCCCCCGTCGTGTTTTGCCACAACGATTTGCAGTACGGCAACATCATGCTCTCGACTAGCACTGGACAAGACAAAGACGGCGAAGATGCTGTCCTGATTGACTTTGAGTACAGCCACTACAACCCCCGAGGGTACGACATCGGCAACCACTTTTCGGAATGGTGCTACAACTACCACGGCGACGCGCCCCACTTGGGCGACTTTGCCAAGTACCCGACGGCGGCGGACCAGCGGCGCTTCTGCCGCGCCTACTTGTCGTCCCAGTCGGCGACCTGCGATGACGTGGCAGACGCACACGTGGACCAGCTAAGACACGAAGCCAACGTGTACGCGAACGCCACGCACTTGTTTTGGGCCCTCTGGGGCTTTATCCAAGCCACGCAGTCCACCATCGACTTTGACTACTTTGGCTACGCAACGTGCCGGTGGCACGCGTTCAAGACGCGTGTGACACTGTCAAACGATGTCAAGTAGAGAAATAGTAGCCGCCCTACGTCATTGACAATTGCATTAATACAATAATTACTTGGATAAGAGATCTTCTAACCCCCCCGCTCACCGCATCACAGACACGATTGCATTGTTGTAACTCGCGGAACTGTACACTAACGTTATGTACCTTCAGATTCTAGGCTTGCTATACGTGTCACGTGACTTGAGCCGAGCACTTTGGCATTTTAGATTGGGGCAAGTGATACAGTAGCTAGCAGGTGTTTGTGTGTTATACTAGTATTAGTTGCCTATCGTTATCTAGTGACTAACATATTGGTCAGTTGGCGTCCGCGTTGCCACGTCACTACTTGGGCAAATGACGGAACATGCCTTCGCGATTCCGCCACGCTGAGAGGTATCCAAAGCCAGAAGCAAATGTGGACATGGTCACGCCCGCACTAAGTAGGTGTCCCCAAGAGCGTCACACAACAGCAGCAAAAAACATCAGAGATCGAACAGACGTACAAGAGACAATGGAGCGCCACGTCACTGCCAGGGATGGGGCATGCCGCCTGGAGAAGTGCGCCGCCGAGGGTGGTGAACTGCAGCGCCGTGTTCACTTTGGACGTCAACGTCGGCTCGACTTCGAACGCGTTGTTGGTTTGGAAAAAGTCCGAAGAGGATTTCCGCGTGCGATGGCGGTACAGCAAAGTGCCGCCGATCAAGAGCAGGTCGCGTCCGAAGATGACCACGACCAGCGGTAGGGGCAGCAGCTGCACGTAGCCGAGGCTCACGCACAACGTCCCGACCATGAACTTGTCCGCGAGGGGGTCGAGAAAGGTACCCACCACCGTCTATGGCATGGTGACGACCCGACGGTGACGATAGAATCTATCATGACAAGATACCCGTTGGTCGAGTTTTCGAGCCAAGTACCCGTCCAACCAGTCGGACACGGATGCCACGGCCAGTACTACGTACGCAAGCGAGTGAGTGAGCGAAGCAATGGTCGACGAACATGGAGACGTACCTCCGACGGCAAACTTGTACTCGCCCTGCATGATCAAGTGGCCCAGATATGGCGTGCATGCGATACGGGTCATCGTGATGGCGTTCGGCAAGGTGAGGACCTGGAGCATCTTGTCGTTGGACGCGCGGTCCTTCTTGGTCGTGGCTTCGGGGTCATCTGGGCTCATGTGAAGGTGAGATACTCGGGTCGTTGATATGTCCATCACGGTGGTTGCACGCCGCCATTTGGACTGTGGAACCGCCCGTCGCACTGCGCCGATCGATGCAGCCAACATTTATTGGTGTCGACGTTGGTTGCGCCAACCAGTGCTTCAAAATGGACCAATCACATTGCAGGATTTCCATTGTGATTTTTACATTTTATGTGTTTTCGTGAAATGGTATAAAAATATCGATTTTCTGGCGTTTTGATAGGTGTACTTCGACTTGTTGCTTCGACCATGCAAGAGACAGCGTCGGCGTCACATTTGATTTGGCGTCACATGCGCAGCGACACTCACAACGAATGTTCAAGCACAATGGTCAATCAGCACTTGTGAACGTCATATTAACTGTACGATCAATGAAAGAGCAAAGTGAGATGTATTTGGACCTCAAAACATGCAGTAATTAATTAGCATGGAAGTTGGGCACTTCTTTCAACCATATGGAATTCTGCTACAAATTGGACATCTACAAACATGGTGGCCTGGTCTGCCTCGGGTCTCTTGAGATCATTGTAGTCGTGCCTTTGCCTGTGCCGAGTTACAAACTGCATAGACGGGCACTACACATTAGAAACTGTACTGGTACTACTAGTACTTGTAGTTAGTACCCGTGGAACTTTGAGAACGATACGTCAGCTCACTGGAACTTACAGTACCCTGACCTGGCTGTTTGCAGCCAATCAGCCCATCCACCGATTCATGTGTTCTACAAGGGGAAATGCGCTCACCTTGTACCGGTACATGTAGTTAAGTACTTACCGGTAACGTTATGTACAGTCCCGGTGGGCCCGCACTTTCTTGCGTGAGAGTACGTGCCTGCGATGTGTTTAGTAGTTACAATTCATTGTAAAGCCGCCCACAGTACAATGTTCACTCATACATACGACATTGATAACTAACAACTACAGCTGTACTTCCCCCACAGACGATGATTCGTCCTCGTGGCTGTCTCGATGGATGAGACAGCGTCCCCCCACGCGCGCGAACTGGCGGCACGTTGGCTCCCGGCACTTGGAGCCACCGCCGTGTTGCCGGCAGTAACCTCCTGTTTGCGACGACGTGGTGCAGCCTGGAACGCTGCACTTTCGTCCACCACCATGTCGGGTGCAGTAGCCGCCACCCCGCGCGTAAGACCGGCACTGTTCAATGCGACACCGGCGGTTGTGGTTTCGGCGCTTCTCGTGGGCGTTAGGCAGCATGCGCGAGCGATTGGAGTGGCTTTGGGGAGGCGATGTCGGGCGCACGATCACACGGCTGTGAAGGATGCAGACGCCGTGGATCTTGGCAAACCGTCGGCAGTTGGTGTGCGCGCACAGCGCCACGCCGTGTCCACCCGCGATCGATGGGAGGAGGTACGGGCCGTCTTGTTGCTGCTGCATGTGGAAAGTTCCAAACTGACGTCAAGCACAACGCCAGCCCCAACAAGGACGTGAAATCCCAGCGTCCATGTGGTGATGGCATGGTGGCATGCAGGCACGTGCAGGCGCAAAACAGTGGGATGTGGATGTCAGTAAACCAGAACTAGACTACTTCGACGTCAACCCGAAGTTTGCGACGACGATTTACCATATTGCACCTTTTTCGGTTGTCCAATTGACAGGAATTCACTTCCCTGATGAAAGCAACATATAAAGCTACAGTATGTAGACCGAACAAAGGACGGACCGTGGCAGCAGGTTCAGGCAATCGCAGCCTGTCGCATGTCCAAGAAGGGATTTGTTGTCATTACCGGTAGCTACATTGAACTGGGTCAGCAACTGGTTGAAACTCATGGAAATTTAGCCAATAGCATGCACAGAAAGATCGCGCCTGCTCGAGGCGGCGGTTTGGTTTCCAAAGTTGGTTGCCGACCATGATGATGGATCCGACGCAGAACTTTGACGACGACGATGTGTTGGACATCGATTTGGACAAGCTCCCGACGGATGAGAAAGAAGCCATCATGAGCCATGTCACCCCAGACGACAGCGCGCCCACAGACGCGTTTTCACTCGGCCAGAACGACCTGCGTCGCGAAGTTAGTATATTGTCTGTGGCTTCTTCTTGGTCACAGAATGCACTTAGTGTCGTGTGTAGCTGATTGATCGTGGCATTCAACCCAAAGGTTTTTTCAACGACGACGCGTTGCGCTTGCAAGAAGAATTCGACCGCGAACATGTGTCGGAGCGCGATTCCCGCATGAAGCAAAAGATCCAAGTCGGTGTCCTTTCAACAAATCACCCGTTCATGGATCGTGCTGGTTAGATGGCAGCCAAAAGCTACCTCCGCGAAACGATCAAACGCAAACGGGAGCAGATGGACACGGAGCTTCGAGAAGAGATTGACGAGTTAGCTGGCAACCCCAAGTTGGAAGTGTGGCTTGACCTGGTCAAAGCCAACACAACCCCCGTCGAGGCGCTGCTTCGAATCAACTCTGTCGCCACCCGGGCGCTGTCCAAGGTGCTTCAATTCAACCTGGGTCTTCGTGCGCTCAACTTGAGCGGGAATCACCTGAACGACATGGCGGGCAAGGTATACTACTCTTATTGTTCAAATGTCTTGAAAGATAGTAAACACTCTAGGCCTTGGCCAACGTCCTTCGTCGTAACAACACACTGGTGAAGCTCGAAGTCGAAGGCAACAACTTTGGCCCGGCCACGGTCAAGGAGTTCGCGGCCGCATTGACCACCAATGCTGGTGCAAAGGATGGTCGTTGGTGTTTTTTACCTCATGTGTTTGTGTTGCGTTTGCAGGCTTGACGTACTTGAGTTTGGAAAGCAACCCCCTCACAAACGACGACAATGATTACTCTGGCATTGCTGCCTTGGGTACCATGCTCACGACCAACAGTACACTGACCAGTTTGAACTTGTGGCGCACGAGGCTCGGCATCGAAGGTGGCAAGGTACAGCAATCATGTGGATTCGTATGATGGGGGTTGGTGTAGCCAGCCGACGTGACCATATATTAACCGCGCGGGTGCATGGCTAGGCGCTGGCGAAGGGCATGTCCGAGAATAAGACCATGTTGTGCCTCGACATCGGGAACAACAAGGTGGCGCTGAATGACGCGATGGCGATTTCGAAATCGCTGGCCGACAACTTGGAGCGGTACGACGCCGTGCAGCGCAAGAAAGGCGAGATGAAAAAAGGTCAGATCGAGGCCGCCGAGCGTGCGCGGAAGCAGCATGAAGAAGAGCGCAAGCAAAAAGAACACGTACGACACCAATGCTGGCATGTGCCGTGGACGTCGTCATTAGTTGGACTCTGACGAGTGGTGCGGTATCCTTATAGGAGCAATGGCTGGAAGAGCGACGTGTGGAACGGCAATGCGAACGCGATCGCATCGAAGCAGAGCGGCAGCGGAAACTCAAGGAAGAGGAGGACCGACAGCGCCAGATCTCCGACAGAAAAGCGGCGGAACGCGCGGCACAATTGGAGCTGGAGAAGAAGAAGAAAAAGAAGAAGGGCGGAAAGAAAAAGAAGTAAACCAACGTCGTGGCGTGCTTGATATTGATGCAGATATAATACGTTTTTGTCCTTGGCATCCCCAATGGACTTGGTCCACTGTCGGCGTTCCTTGTCGATCGGCGACGCAAATCATTCCAAGTCAGATGGCCTTCTTGCCTACAAATGTCCATCGTAATGTGGTATCGTCCGTCTGTCGCGCCGTTTCAGGTTTTAGATATCCGGATAATCTATCCGACGACTTCGCCTTGTTATACGGACGACTGCCCAAAGATTGCAAGCAAACTTGGAATGAGCGCACGACGTTCGACAGCCAACTCGGTCGTTGGCGACGTCGCTTTGAGTGCTGGCTCGAACGAAGCGCGGACTCGCCAACTTAGCCAGGTAATATGCCTACATGGCTGCTGGGTGATGAGCCGTACATGATGCAAGTAGAATGGGAAGGCGCTGTTCCGCCACGCAGTGACTCATCAACTTGTGATCGACGAAGGCTGCCGGTCGGACGAAAACGTGAGCAACATCACGCTGAGAGACAACGAAAGCATCGGGTCTGAGCTGGAGAACTTTAACGAGTGGAAGGTGTCCCATGGGGTGAAGGAGAAGGATCCCCCCGCGTTGGTCCGACGTGGCAGCGATTCCGTGCGGGCCTCGATTGCGAACAAGCGGCGAGCCCGAAATACATTTGTTTATTCCGGATAATGCTTTATTCGGATATTGTTCAAAAGATTCTGTTGCCAAAGCCCAAACAAAGCATGAGTTTTGCAGTCGAGCTCGTTCATGCGGTAAATGGACTCGCCGAAAGCTTGGCAGCGCACCCCCAAGTCGATGCATGTGCCGTGCTAAGTGTCCTTTCCCACACGTACCACCATGTTAGCTTTTTCATCGTCGCCGCTCCTCTCTAACCGTCAACGACACGTAGGCGTCAGGCTCGGCGACCGATCCAGCAATTGAAGCCGTGACTGCCGCATCACGTGCCGTGTTATCTTGCCTACTATCCGGCCCTTCTTCTTCGAATGATTCCGTCCTTCGACAATCGGCTCTTCCCCCGCGCGTGGTGTCCAGTATCAGCGACACCACGTCGATCTTGGCAGACGCCGCCGTATCCAGGGCTATTCCGCGACTGAATCGTCTAGATTGGTATGTGCAGTCCATGAAACCATAGAATCGTCACCTATTGACATTTGTTCCAGGCGCGTGGATATAAATGTAGCGTCTAGCGCGTTGGAGAGCATTTATCAGCCCAGCGTGGTCCTCCGCATGCAGTTGTCCAATGGGCGCCAGCACACCGTGGAGCTGTCCCTAGCCAAGTTTCATGAGCTTCGCTACAACACTGCCAAGGTCCAGTACATATATCGGCCTTTCACCTTCTTCACCCAGTATCTCATCTTGATCGTGCTTAGATCCTCCAGGAAATGAACCAACTGGAGCGCCACCCTATCCTCCGCCTCACTCGCGAAGGCCTCACGACCACTAGTAGTACTTAGCTCCACATCATCATTGGCCACATTGCCAATGCTTCTCTATCTAGCCTCACTAATACGAGTATACAACGATAAATGTCCATTCTTTACTCAGGACTAGTACTCGACACTGGATTCGTGTATTTGTTTCGTACTCGCCCCGCCGGCGAATTCTGTGGCCAGCGTGTCGTGCAATGTGCGACACGGTGGCACTGGATGCTGAAACACATCCCACACTCGCCCGAGGGCCGGGCGGCCATGGCTCATGGCGTGGAACGTGGACGGTGCGAAGACGCGCGAGAACCCCACCGTGAGGATCGCCAGTTGAATCAAACATAGCGTCCAGAACCAACCATATTGGTGACGGTGAACGGGGGGTACGCATGCCTCGTACACGCCCCACTGACCGCATCGCAGGAGGAGGTACCCAAGGACAATCACTCCTTTGCCTTTGAGTTTGAACTTGGGGGCAATGTCGGCATCGAATGCCTTGACCAGTTTCACCCAAGTCAGTACCGCAAGCACAGTCGCTCCCAAGTTGCACAGCGCCAAGACGACGCGAATTGCAGTGTCCGTTGGGTTGTTGTTGTCGCTGCTGTCATTACGAACTGCCACGCCATGGATCGCCCCCAAAGTGACCAACGTCGGATGCACGAACGCAAACCATAGAACGACCCGGCGGATGGCCACGTACGTGGCTCGGGCGTGACGAACTTGGTCATAGTCTTGCGTCGACGCGTCGTCGTCACGGGGCGAGTCAAACGCTGGCGTGGGGGGGAGGGTGTAGTGCTGGGGGGGGTGCTTGGCCAAGACGTCGATGGCTCTTTCGGTACCCCCCAACTGTACGATCACGAGAAAGTAGGCGGAGACGAGGACGATCGAGTCGACGGAGGCGGCGGTGGCTTCGACTGCAACTTGAAGCGCCTGAAATTGCAGTGACACGTTTGTGTCGAGCGCCATTTTGGCCAAGAAGAGTACACTGGAGAGTCCCAACGCAATGGCACAACGCATCGAAATGGTTTGGGCCAATGGGTTGATCACATGCGTGATGTGGCGACGGATGAATATGGCGCTGACAAAGGCGCAGAGGACTGTGGCGGCAATCCCGAGTACCCATTGCATGATGATACACCCAAGGTCGTTGAGTTGATGCGCTTCTTCTTTGGCTTTCGCTGGTCGAAACCGACGACATATAACGCATAAACGGTTACAGGCTGAAACGGTTGCTCGATGACGATCTGACAACTTCCACACAAAATTCAACGCGATGGGTGGAGCCGAGTCCAGCACACGCCGAACGATAAAGCCCGGGACGGTCATCTCCATGATATCCCGAAGCATCGGGGGCGGCGGAAGGAGCTCACGTGGGGACGACGACGTGTTGGCCGTAGTGGCCAAAGTAGGGCCAGACTCGGACACCGACTGGTCGGGCGAGTTTAATCGACCGTTGGCGTCCGCAGATCACTACCAGCACTACATGCCCCCCAACATGCCCATGTGCCCAACATACCAAGTCAACTACGTGACAGAATGCAACCGATCTTGGAAACTCATCTGCAAAGCCGCGACGCCCAAGATGAAGCACTACAACAAGGACGGTATCGTGCTGTTCTACGACGAGTTTTTCCACCGGTTGTTTCAACGGGACCCTGGGTTTGAAGACATTTTCCCCGGTATTCGAAAGCGCATTGAAGTGCTGATCAAGGCCATGAAGTTCATCCTGAATGACTCGGGGATGACCGAGACGGTGGTCATCCAGCGATGTCGGAACCTCGGCCACCGCCACCGCACCATCCCCAAAGTGAAGCCGCATCACTTTTCAGCGTATGCCAGCACGTTTGTGGAAGTGGCCATGTTCTGGCTCGACATTGAAGCCACGCCAGACGTTGGCGAAGCCTGGAGCAACCTCGTCGGGTTCAACCTCAAGTATATGCTCCAATCGTATCTATTCAACACTGTCAACGAGAGCGATTGGAATCAGAATACGACGCAACCCACCAAGGAGTCTCGGACGACTGCGCCCATCAAGAAGACCAAGATCAAACCACCCACTACGACAACCGCGGTCACGAGCATTACCAAGTCGGGCACGAAGAAGGACCTGGCCGCAGACTAAGTACCCTTCCTATATGATAGCATTATGATAGCAGCACCTTGAGGCACCCCCATTTGTACTTGACATCAAAACAACTCCATGTATATTATCGGATCGTGCGTGGGCTTCAGTTATGCATCACGTGTGCATGTCGTTGCGCCCGTTAGAAGCCGCATTGGCGGCTCCTGTCCCCATCATCACAAGTATGCGATGTATGGTTGCATTGGTCACAGCAGTGGGTTACATGAACGTTACATAGTAACGGATTCGAATACTATTAATACTATTAATACTAACGTTAATAATAATAGTCACTACTCCGGAGTTGTTCTCGCATGTGTTTTATACACCATTGTATAAATGTGTTTCAATCCGAATTACATCGTACTGTAGTTGTTTAAAACCAATCCTGTGAAAATACATGTCGGTGTTTTGTGAGTGGCCCAGGCAGCCCGGGGCTGCGCACCACTCGTTTGGTGGATGGGCTACTCGATGAGTCATTGTACATTTTGCACCGTGGTAGATAGATGGTCATGGATGGCCCCGCTCGTCCAACAACCCGCGGGATGTTTCAAGTCGTTCAATGGGCATAGAACGCAGCGGATAGTGTCCTGGGCGTGCGGTCGGGGACTGCTGATTGGCGTCGGCGTCGTCTCCTGGGCTGCCTTGCTCTCGGGCAAGTGCACCTACTGCTGTGTGCCCGACATGACTTCGATTGTTCAAGTTAGCTGCTAGCGTGCATGTTTCCGCAGATCACACTCTGTTTTCAATCTTGCCAATGATTGATTCCAATTTTTTCATTCTGCAACACCAACTGGACTATACTCACTGGCCCTCGTCCACGTCGAGCGGTTGGTCTTTTTGTCCTTACATCGCATATCGAGCACAAGTAGGATGGTTATACTATACAAAAGGGAGTACGACGTCGAAGTGAGGAACACCTTGTCCTGATCTCGTGATTATAATATAGACTACAATTCTCTGATCGACACGTCACACCCTTGCTTGGTTGCATTCAAGTATGCATTGCTTGATCAAGCATACTGTCATTGATTCGTAAGCTCGTTAGATCTAAAACCAACACCTTTTTTCGCCTGGTAACTACTGTACATTGGTGGAGATGACCTACGTAAGGAATACCCACACTACAGACATCAACAGCCCTGACACCAATGGCAAAGACAGATTGTCGTCACAGCCCACATACAGCACTTCCCCCACCGTGCCCGCAACACCGCATAGCGCCATCACGACGGCTTTCTATCGAATGCTCACAAGTCAGACCCCCACCTAGATATTGCAAGGCATACTATATATCCCGACGTAAGGGTTATTGTTTTGTACCTCGATGCCACTCACATGGGCCACGGATGCATCCACAACCGACAAGAAGGCCACGCTCGTGGCAAAGCACACGACAAAGCAGCCGGCGACCCCGGCGATCGTCTTACCGTTGGCCAGTTTGGTCGTGTGGTGGCCCAGCGTTAGGCCAAAGAATGACGCGCACGGGTCGCCCAATGATAGCTACAAGGTCGTTCGTATGCCCCAACAGGATCACGGAAGGTAAGTCTCGTACGTGCAACACACTGAGCTGGGCCACGTCCTTCTTGAAGATCAGGAGGCTGATGCTGCACCCGAGGAGGAACCAAAACGCGCCTGCACAAGCATTCGCCGTCAGCAACAGGAACAATGGGTGGCTGGCATGAGTGTAAGTAGTACCAGGCAGGCGATGGGCAATCTCATGCTGCCGCAGGATGGGACCAAACACATGCAGATACGTGTCGTTGACGATATTGTTCTGTTTGCGTAGTTGGGCGACGATGTAGAAGGCCACCGCGGAACACGCAAGCACCACCGACACTAGAAGATGCATCATCCTCAGTCAGACACATCAACAAAAGTCACGTTGGTTGAGAGGGGAAAACCTTGGAGGCTGTTGGCGTAAAACGATCCGACTACGACCAACACCCCCGAACCAGCTACAAGAACGATGGCATGATGAAGAGTGAAAGGTAAGGAGATGATGGGGGCTTCGAACCATGCTGAATCTTGCGACGGACGTGCAATTCCTTGGTGGTGCGCACCGTGTTGTGGGTCGGACGCCGCACCACGACAAACTGCAGCAGGAGGATTGCGACAATGAACACTACCGCCGCCACAGATGACGTGCCACTGAAGAGAGACCCCAATGGAGTGAAGAAGACAAGGCCGACGATCACGAGCAGTGGGCCTGTGAACATGGCCACCGTCTCGGTTAGTGCCATGATACTATGTAGTCTCGCCGTTAAGGTGCTGCGACCGGTAATCGCAAAACTGGTTCGCTCGGTGATTGGCCAACTTTGATATTCACGTTTCATTGGTTAAAATACACTCCCAGCGACAATTTGATTGGATATCGAGCATTCTTGACCTTTGACATGTCGAGCTTTCGGCGAGCTGTGGGTCTTGACTCCGCGGCACCACACGTGCCTTCAACAACTTCGTCGTCGACGCCCGCACGCGGAGTTTCTCGTGGCGTCAAACCATTCATCAATGACCAGACGTTGACGTCGAGTGGACTGCGCGAGCTTGACGCAGTCGTTGGCGGTGGCTACCTCCTCGGGTCCATCGTTGTGGTGGAATCGTCGGTGTTTGGCTCGTTCGGGTCTGACCTCGCCAGATATTTCGCCGCCGAAGGGTTGGCCAACGAGCACGTCGTTTACACGGACGCGTCCGTCGTCGCCAGCCTGCCTCTGGAACTCAGCACCGCTCAAAAGCAGTTGAAGGCCGCGTTGGTGGTAGCCCAAACCAGCGCGGCTGCCCCGCCACTCACAATTGCGTGGCAGTATGAGAAATACGCGGCTGAAACCCTACCCCATAACGTCAAAGTGACCGACAATCGCTTTTGTCACAGCTTTGACCTGTCCAAGCCCATGGTGGACGCTATGAAACGGACCTGCCACGTCCTCCTGGACTCTTCGTCCACGTTAGCGTATCGCAGCATCTTTGCGACCATGCAGCAAGCTCTGGAACACAGCGACGACGTCGTTCGCTTCGTCTTGACCGACGTTGGCGCTCCGTGGATAAGTGGGGACATGACCTCGGAGCATCAATCGCAGTTGCTGATCTTCGTCCGAGCTGTCCGCGGCCTCCTCGCTCGCCACCGCCGCCGCGCCATTTGTATGCTAACTGTGCCGGCCTTCACGCTGCCGACTCCGCTGGTTCGATCCATCCGACACTTGGCGGACTACGTGTTTGAGCTGTCGTCGTTCGCAGGCCAAAGCGACCATCTGCCTTCCGAACTCGCGTAACCCTCCCCACTGTCATAACCATGTATTCACATGCTACTGTGTGTGTGTTGTGTAGAGACTTTGGCGGGCTGCTCTTTGTGCACAAGGTGGCCCACCTCCATGCGATCACGGGGCACGCGCTGGACAACGTCAAACTCGGCGTGAAGCGGGACCGCCGGAAACTGAAACTCGAGCCGCTGCACTTGCCCCCCGAGGGCAGCCGCAGCCAGAAACCAGACAAAACCCAACAACCCAACGACATGTCGTTTTAAATAATGCCACCAATTAGCTCGATGGTTTATCAGCGCTAACGTCATCTTCGTCGCTACTTTCGTCATCGTCGTCGACATCGTCATTGGACAAAAGCTCGTCGTCGCCCGACGATGCTTGTTTGGCGGTGCCCCCCAAGTGTTTTTGCCTAGACTTGGCTTTCTTCTTGGCCTTCTTTTTCTGGGCGAGTTGGATCTTGACATTCCGCTTACTGGTTGTGCCATTGACCAAATCGTCCAACTTGGCATGCAGGAGCTTCCGCGCCACGCGGCGATTGTCGTCGAGAGATCGTGTCTTCTGGCATTGCACGAATACTCCTGTGGGTGTATGCTTGAGAAAGACGGAGTTGCGAACTTTGTTAATCTTCTGCCCGCCGTTGCCGCTGCCTTTGACAAACTTCTCCTCCAAGTCGTTCTCGTCGATGACCACCACTTTGGAGGTGAGGACCTTACCCCACGATGAACTGAGCCGAGTACGGAAGGTTCCGACAATATGGCCACCGTTCGTCTCATTCGCCCGGAGGATGGTCTGTGTCGGTCGACAGCCCGGCAGACTCGACGCTCGACGAACCATATGCAGCATTGTTGTTGGCGGCGAATTCGATTTTGAATGAAATCGTGCCATTGGATAGTCCAAAGTTTTAAAAAAATCTTTGAAGGCTTGAAATCTTTTTTAAAATCGATTTGAAATGTAAATCTATTTAAAAACGATTTCGTTTGATACCAAATTTTCGGTAGATTGGAAAAGCGAAAAAAAAAACTACCTTTTTCTTACTACATTTACGATGGCAATTGTATTCTTGCAGCCAAGACGGCGAAATGAGGCAAGAAGCACACAAGTTTCATTACCATGCCTACGTTATGCAACACAATCACCCTGCTGACTCTAAGGCTACTTCTACACCAGCGCTTCCTGCAGTTCGCATGCCAAGCCCTTGTGGCCGGCGTAGCACTGGCATTGCCCCGTTTCGGCGTTGCAAACCCCGCGCTACAGTAGTCACAAGTCAGTCTCTCAAAGCACAAGCCAGGGTGCAATATGTTTTCTTACGTTGGAGCACGTGGCCAATTCCGTGAGCGGTCGGGCAAGCGCACCGGCAGCGTTGGAGCCGGGAATATGCTCGACCACAACGACTGTGGCAGCGCCACCACCAGCCGAGCTACAAATCAATCCGCATGAGTTTCACCTACCGGTAGATATGCATACGAAAACACGTACATGGGCTGGCTTCCGGCAGCGGTGTACGGAGTCACGTCCACCTCTAGCAAACTCTGGAGGCCAGTGGTACCAGGCGCCGCCGGGAACGTCACAATGCAGTTGGTCGCGGTGGTGATGTCGGCCACCGTCGCCGCCACCGTCCCCGTCGTGGGGCCCGTGCGGGTGTACGCGCCGACTCCGCCGGGCTTGACGCTGATTTCGTTCGAGTTCAACACGCGCGAGCTCAGGGCAAAGTTGGGGATGCGGCGGAGGGCCGTTTCGATGTTGGTGCACGTCGTGGCGTCCGCGGTGGGCAAGCCGGACGTGATTTCGCTCGTCGTCCACAGGTTACCGTACGGATCGGCGTATCGGATGACAAACTTGATCACAGCGGAATGGGTGATGGTGATCCCTTGCTGCATGTCGTACTGGCCGGTCGTGAGCGGATCGTCCCCCTGGGGGCATACGCGGCGGTTGCAGCTGTGGCCTTCCCATCCAGGGTCGCAGCGGCAGCCTTGGATCTTTTCGCGGTCCCAGCTCGTGTAGTCGATGAACAGTGGGTTGCCGCCCACGCGCTTGTCGGTGGACACGGCCAAGTCTTCGATGAACTGGCACTTGCCATGGCCCGAGCAGTCGCTAGGACACTTAAGGCGGCGACAGCCAGACCCTACAAACGTTTCGTCGCACTGGCAGATGCCGGTAGAGCGATCGCAGATGCCGCGGTTGCCGCATTCAGCGTAGTAGTGTGCGTCGTTGTTGTAGCTCGCCGTGTCTTGCCACGCACGCGTGAACGGGCATTGGCGGGCCGAACAGTCGGCGTTGATCCAGTTCTGCTCGCACGAGCAAATGTCGTTCGCCCCGCACGACCCGTGACCAGAGCACTTGTTCGGACACGCGCCTTCCACAGATAGCACCGCCAACGCAGACAACCCTAACAACGCTTTGACCCAACGTCCAGCCATGGTGTTTTTCTATAGGATTTCTTGGGCGGAAATCGAAAAGTGAGCGTGGAAGAAACGACTCGGCGACGGTTGGGGGTTGCCAACACAGCATTACACGAAGAATGTATGCCGCGACCTTTCGACTGTCGTCGCCACATCACTGGACGCTATTTTTGGCTTGCGAGCCCCGATTGGTGCGACCACGAGGTGGCGATTTGTCGAAGCATTCCAAGGGACGCAGGCGCCTTCATAGTAGCCTCAACTAAAGTGCCAGTGAGATAGTATATTATGACCTTTCGTCGAAAGGCCGTCTCCGGATAATTTCCGGGTCACCTCGCCATCAAGGGCAAACATGTGGTGGGTTTGGATGGGGCGACGCGTTCGCGTGCTCCTTGTAGAATGCATGCCGATCTTGGAATGGCTACCTGGCTACCAATGGCAACGCCATCTCGCACACGATGTGGTGGCGGCGATTGTGGTTGTGGCCGTGATGTTGCCGCAAGAGCTGGCATTTGGAGCCAGCATGCACGTCCCAGTGTCCACGACGTTGCGGACAGCTATCGTGGCCCCGCTGATTTATTGCGTCTGTGGGACATCGAGCATGGTGTCGTTTGCAAACGCCGCCGAACTCACGTGGGCGGTGGGAGGCGCGCTGCAAACCATTCCCGACGACCAAGAATTTGAACGATTGGCCAAGGGAACATTGATCACGTGCACGTCCGGCGTCGTGCTGCTTCTGCTGGGTTGGTTTCGCGTGGGGACTCACCTGCCATTGTCGAGGCCGGCGATGGGGGGGTTCCTTTGGGGCGCCAGTCTCCTCGTTCTGGCTGAGCACATTCCTCACCTGGTTGGCGTCGTGGATGTGTTGACAGCTCCGTCCGTGCACATTGAAGCGTGCGCCCTTGGTGCGTTCTCACTTGTGCTGCTTGTGGCTGTGGAAGGCATACGCCAACGGAAGTCCGTGCTCGTACGCCCTTCGTTGTCAAAACTGAACGATCCCGCCGTCCTCTTACACGCATATCCAACCGGTTCTTTGAATGTCAGTTCCAGTAGCAATGCACTAAGCGCGGTCGACCTTGCCCCCCTTGGCGTGTGTGGGCTCGGACTCGCCTTGCGACTGTGGGTTTCTTTCCCCGACGATGCGTCGTCGACCACACATCCACATCACCATGGAAACCAATCGCTCTACGAATCGTTCACACTTAGCCACGCGTTTCACCACATTGTGAGCCAAGAAGTCGAAGAAGTGATGACGCTGCTGTGGAATGCCTTAATCATAGCGCTGGTACGTCGCCGTGCATCGAGCCTAATCATGAATCCATGATCACCCTAGACGTCGTACGTGTCGACAATTGTGTTAGCCAATCAAGGAGCCCGACATCGTCAGTCCTTGGTATACAAACACGAGATGTCGTGGAGGTTTCTTAACCAAGTATCTAAACATCGTTCGTTCGTTCGCAACTGTAGACAACCCCAACGAGCAAAGTTCAAGCCATCGATGTCGACCCCAACAAGGAACTCATTGCTTACGGACTCGCGTGCGTTGTCGGCGGATCATTTCGAGCGCTGCCGCCTGCGGGGGGTCTGGCCCGCACAGCCATTAACGCCAAGTACAGTCGCACGGCGGTGACTACGCTCTGCACGACCTTCGTCCTCGTCGTGGTCATGGTGTCCAAGGTGTACGTCCTTGTTCCGCTGCCTTGTCTTGCGGCCATTATCGTCGTATCGACCGTGTCCTTCATGGACAGACACGAGCTCCAGACGATGCTACGGTGTCGACTGTACTCGTGCTTGGGCCTGTGGGCTGCAGCCTGTATCAGTACGTTTCTAGGCGGCATTCTCATCGGCGCCCTTGTCGCGCTCTGTCTCAGGTCCTTGTCGCACTGTCGACTTTTGTCAATGAACAGTACGTAGTGTGGCGATATCCCCCCCTGACACCGGTGTCACACGGATCGACAGCGTGGGCGCCACGCGTCCAGTCCACGATCGAAACGATCAAGTGATCTTCGTGCGGGTGGACGCAGCAGTGGTGTGTTTTGTGAACTGGGATGTCATTGAAAAGCAAGTCGAACTGTTCGTAAACGTGGGTGAAATGGACGTGACAGGCAGCACCAAGGACGGGGTTGTCATGGACCTGTCGAACATCCACGACGGTGCGCACGACCTTGAAACTGTGGGTCGCATCAACGTGTTCAGTCGCCGACTGAAGCACCACGGCGTCGACTTGGCCATCACCCACGCCCCCCCAAGTATATTTGCGAACAAATACAAGGTTTCATTGCTTGTAGTGAATTCACACACTGCTGTCTTGTCGCGTAGAGCTCCGGGCGGCGTTGGCTACGCTCGCACCACGGCTAGCCGATTACACGATTCAACTGTCCAACGAGTCGGCTGTTGTGGCCATTCAAGACGGCGTGTGCGACCTATTCATCGCGTAGCAAACTGTTTATGGACTGGGGAAGACGGCACATGACAAAAGTTAAAGTGTCAAAATATAAAAACTCAGACATCGACATTCTTTTCGTCACTAGAAAACGTCAGACCTCAAAGGTGAGGCGAACATTACGAGTTGACGATGTTGAGATGAATCAGACCATGGCTATTGCAGACATAACGTTATAGGCAATCACCAACGAGGTGATTTCGTAGCAAACTTACGTCCTAGAAAGGTATAGTTATACTGGCGTTAGTGTGCTATGTATTGTAGTGATGTGCCAGTCTATTTAAAGCCGCATTTGACTTGTACAAGTGCAGTTACGATGCTCAAGTGCGCGACGGGTCGACCTCCGAGGCACTTGGCCTTAGGCAATCAAGACGTTTTTCACGTGCCGTCGGGGCCTACGGTGCCGAAATGGGAAAAGGAATTCAGCGTCGTCTTTGACGGCCGCAAGCCCACAGGGCTGGGCTTCAAACCGGTTAAGGAAGAGTATGCTTGCAGCGTGGACAGCGTTGTGTCCGGCACCCTTCGCGACAACCTCGCGGCGGACCACAACGAGCACTGCTACTTGAGCTGCGACTTGTCGCGGTAGGGCTCCCCAAGTCTGAACCCCATGGACATGCCCGAACTCATGGACTTGATGCTCGTGTTAGTGTCATTACACCTGGCTTGCGCGTGCGCGCCATCAATGATTTGGACGTCCAGAGCCTGACGTTTGACGTCGTCGTGGCAAAGTAACGCAGCCCCCCTCTCGTCGTTATGGCTGACATGCTATGGGCTATGGGGGATAGGATCAAGACGATGAAGCGACCAATTTTACTCACGTTTGCCGACGTGAGGTCCGCCACTTATGGCGACCCCGCGGCAAGCGTCCCCGTGGAGTCGAAGCAGGCAGCCCAAGCGTTGGGGGACGAAGTCGTCCGGCTCCGTGCCCAACTTCAGGATGCCATCATGGCCAAAACCGACGCAGAAGCCGAATCCGCGAAGTTTCAAGCGTGGAACAAGTCGCTTCTGATGACCAACGGCGTCATCAGCGACCAGAACTCGGCCGCGGTGGACGAGGTCCTGAACGAACGCATCGCTGTGGAAGCCACACACGCCCTTGCGACCCAGTTGCAGGGGGAGCGGGACCGAGCGGTCGCCGCCGCGCACGCCTTCAAGGTACAACCCCCGTCGGCCTTATTGATCGAACAGGGCATGTTTGTAGCTGGAGAACTCGAGTTTGCAGTCGCGAGTTGAAAACCTGCACCAGCGACTCGAGGACGCGCAAACGGCCAAGCGAGAAACGAACGAACGACTGATGGCGTTGGAGCGCCAACGACACGACGACCTGCGGTTGTTTGCGTCGCTGCATCGCGAGATCCACGTCGAAGCAGACGAAACCAACGAGTTGGACAAGCTCATGCAGGTCGAACCTACAGGGCAACTGTCCAATTCGACATAGTTCTGCGCCAATCGTCTCATCGAAGATGTTGGTGCTGTGGCCAGGTGGAAGCCACCACGACCACTAGCGTGCTGGGTCGCGAAGAAAGAGACAAGCACGAGGCGACGATGAACAAGCTGCGCGAACAACGAGCGGCTCATGCGACCCACAAGGCGTCTTTGGAGGCGGCGCTGGACGACCACATGGCTCGGGCGGCGGCGGACCGCGCGCGCATTGAAAAGCTGCAGCGGGACAAGGATGCCCTAGAACGGTCCATCCTCGAGCTCCCCCAGCAAGTCATCGCCACCCCCGTCGACGCGAATCAGTCGACCTCGGCGTCTGCCACGGTGCACCACCTGCACGCACAGCTCGGCGACGCCCACGACAAAGTCTTCCACGCCAAGCCTGAAACGCGCTCCGAGAAGGCGAAATGGACCGCCGAGAAGCTCCTCCTTCTCGCAAGAATCCAAGCGGTCGAGCACCACAGCCAAGCGTTGGAAGAGGAGTTGGTCGCGTTCAAGGCGGCAACGTCGTCGGCCGTGGCAGCCACCGCCGCCGCCGACGTACACGAAGGCACTATCGTCCGAGACTTTATCCACCGCATGTCCACCAAAGGGTTTCGTGTGCACAAGGTAGTAGTAGGACACTCAATCATTACAATATGCAAGTTACAAGGTAGATTGGGAGGTTTAGTTGTCGTGTGCAAACTCGAAGGTAACTTGACGACATGTTTGACGTATAGCACGGACGACGGGGGTCGACGCACGACCGGTACTTGTACACAGACTCTGACGGCCACTGGCTGAGTTGGACCAAGGTCGATGCCGCGAGAAACCCCGAGGCCTTCCGACACCCGAGCAAGAAGATCGTCGTGGACATCAAGGACCTCGTGGACGTGCTTCCAGGCAAACAAACGGAGGTACATATTAATGTATTATAATACAACGAAAACATGCGACACGGTTTGCAGGTGTTTGCGCGGCCCAACAGCGCGGCGACGCCGGCCTCGCGCTGCTTCTCCCTCGTCTGCGCCAAGCCGTGCCGCACGATTGACGTCGAGACGGACACTCCCGAGCAGTGCCAGCGGCTCATCCAGGGGTTCCGCCTCCTCATCCGCCGCCGCGCGGTGCAGCATGCCGCGTCCCGTCGTCATCCCGTGGCCCCCTTGCATTGAACCATCTGGATGTATGTACTGGATGTAGCCCACCAAATAAATATATATTATATACACGGCAAACTCAATGGAATATGTCTCCAAGTCTACAATCTCGACCGGTACACATTCTGCACAGTGTGTTTTTGCAGTGGTGAGAGGAGGTGGCTCAATTGTCACTGAAATCATAGGACGGCAATATGCTCGAATGGATTGAGTTAGATCGTGTTACAGTATCCCTCACACCATGTCTACGAAATCTATCCAATGCTAAGGCGACTGCTGCTGCTGCGTCAGCACTTGGTCGATCGCTTGGGCCACGTTGTCGTAACTGGGGAAGTCGGACAGCTTGCCCATGTACACGAGGCTTGGCTTGTGGGCCATCGCTTCTCGGACCACGCGCTGGACGTCCGCGGCCGTGACCGCATCCACCTTGTCGCAGATGGACTCTGGGCTCTCACGGATGCCATACGTGAGCAACTACAAGGTTGTTTGTTGGATGTGAGACGACGATGGAAAATGGAAATGTGATGACGACGACAGTATCACAGGGGAAAGAGTGTGTGTGTGTTTATATAGTGGATGGGTAAATTTAGCTGGTTAGTTGGTTACCTGTCGGCCAATGTCTTCATATAGAATCATGCGGGACTCCAAGTTCATCAACACGGATGACTTGAGCTGGTTCTTGGCACGAGACAGTTCGGTGGAATCCACGCCGTGCACTAATACATATGTAGAAACATCAGAATCTCAAACAAGTGTTAGGCGCTGTATGATCGTACATGCAATCGAAAGCAGTTGATTCACGAGCAGCCCCACCAGTTGGCCCGTGGCTTCGGGCATGCAGGCTCCGTAGATACCCACCAGCCCAGCATCGTTGTGCAATGACGAGAATGCTTGCGCCGATTCGACCCAGTAGTACCGATTTAGCACATGCTATACAGTGTCAATCAAATGATGACAATCGATCGACCAATCAAAACTCAAAACACTATTCAAGTGACCAATCACATACGTGCAACCATCAAATTCGTGTGGGGTTTCAATTGGTGTGACCACTGTACATGGTTTATATACTACGTAGTTTACAAAATTCAGTATTGTGCTTTCGAGTGAAATTTCGTGTTGTGGTTTCTCGTTGGAATTTAAATCGATTTGATTGGCTACTTCAGATGAGCTCAAAATTATTAGCCAATCAAAACCTTCTCAATGAAATTCAACCAATCAGATCGATTGTGGATCGCTTTGGTTTGCGCGATTCGATTGCACCCCCTCCCCAAATTTGTATCAAATCGACAATAATGTTGTGTTCATTCTTAAACTGGAGCGACCACATGGAGAATGAATCAACAGTAGAATCACTGGTAGAAGAATTTAGCCAATCAGATTGCAGCAAACCGTCATGAACAAGTCAAATTAGTGTGAGACTTCAATTAGTGTGCGATACCAATTACCCCAGGATACCGTTTTACGTACAAAATATCAGTCCAAAGAATAATCGGTCGGTAGATCTGGCTACATTCAGCACACAAAAGTGCAAAATTGGGGTAAAAGAAACACAATACCATCAATCAATCGATATATCATCGTCATTCAGCTGCCTGCCCCATGACCAGGTATCTCACCGTGTACAGGCGCGAGTACATGCCCTTGCCAGGTCCACCAGCTGAAAACGAGTCGCCCCCTCCTAACAACGTCTGGAGCACACATACAGGCACCAAATCTATGTTATCCATGTCATTAGAGTCCACATCTGCGATAAGGTGATTTTGTCGATCTATTTAAAAAATCATATGAACAAAATGTACCTTCATGGTGCCATCCGCCCGTGGGAAACGCAAGCGACGCGTACGAGAAGGGCGCGTCGGCGTTCTCGATGGCTTCCAACCCACCTCGGTACACGGCGGGCTCGAGGGGGGCGACGTCGTCCGCCGCCTCCGCTTTGAGGGCGCCAAAGTACTCTTTGGCCTTTTCCACGAGCACGGCATGTTCGATGCCCGAGCCGGCGAGGACGATGCGCGGCGCGACGAAGAACTTGTTCATGTACGAAGTGACCGCAGTTCGGTCCAGGGCGTCGACGTGCTCCAGCGGGCACTGCAGCGGCCGACCTAACGTGTGGTGCGCGCCGTACGCCGCCGTGTGGACGCGCTATCACCTCGACGTGAACACTTGAATGATGGATATATGGAAGATCCCCCCACCTCTTGAAGGAACAGCTGCGGGTTCTCCTTGAGGTCCTCGGACTGGATCTTCATGATCACTTTGGTCATTTCGATTTCGTCGTCCAGGATTGCAGGGTTGACGAACGCGTCGGCCAGAAGCGCCAGGGCCTTGTCCACGTTGTCTCGAAGGACGTCCACCGTGTAGATGAGCTGCTCGCGGCCGCTGGACGCGGTGGTCTGCGCGCCAATGTCTTCGAACTCGCTAGGATCGTATATGATGAGCCCATCAATCCAAGACATAATATGCCATGGAAACGGTAGTAATACTAACAGAGGGAACTAGTAGCCTATGAGCCAAGACACTTACCGAACGAGGTCGGCGTGGCTACGGGAACGCGAGCTCTTGAACCCCAAGTGCTCCATCATGTGCGTGACCCCAGTGTTCGAGTCTACGAGAATCATCCGAATCGTTACGATGGATAATGAAAATGATGAAGAAGATGTGCGGGTTGTTTGTGGAGGTATGACGCTTGCTTGACGTCTATGAGGACGCACCGTCTTCGAAGCGACTGCCGGCGTCGACAAACAGACCCACTGTCGACGCTTGGCCGTACGTTTCTTGTGAAATCACGCGAAGGCCGTTCGGCAACACCGTGGTCTCTGTTCGTGGAGCTTGCAATTGACTCGCGGGTTTCAGCACCGGCAGCCTAGAAGGACGTCAATATGATGGGCCGAAGAATATATGCGGACTTACCCTGGGATGGGCTCGTCCAAGCTGGGAAGCTTCTTGAATGTCGCCTACACATGCCAAACAAGGTTCATTCGTCAGATACAGTGCTGCATATAGGTGATATGTGTTGCATGTGGTAGTAGTACCAAATCGGGTTTGAGGATGTCACTTGGCGATTTCTCGGCCGTGTCTTTGGCATGCACATAGTGCGAGAACGCATTGCCGTAGTTGTTGGTTACGGCGCTAAAATGACGAGAGCTCAGGAAGGACTGGCCCCATACTGATGCCGTCGACGCTTGGACCTGACGGCGGCTCAATACACCCAGGCGCAGCATGATGCTCGACTTCTGGAAGATAACTGGAGGCCCGCGTGATTGTGATCGCCAATCCGGATAAAACAGACATCCGGATAAATGAACACCACAGAACGACGAAGCAGCCGACAGAACATGAGCTGCATGGCGCGAGATGCCCCATGTTACTCTAGCCCACTGCGTCGAGTACGTAGTGTAGGCAAAGGTTCCAAGTTGGTGAAGTTGATGTGCATACATTGGACATGATCAATACTACCGGTACTGTAGAGTGCGAAGGATTACTGAAGTATGCAATTCAAGACTGACAAGGACTACACATTACTGTACTTGTTGGGTTACTGTATGCGTACAATCAGTTCGTGGACATGGCCAGTCATCGATCCGATGCAAGTACAGCACGCGTCGAGCAACATGATCAACAAGTCCTGCCTGCAAAGCATCGTTCGTTGTGGTTGGCGGTTGAGTTCGTCTTGTGCCTCGTAGTGAGTTGGGCAATGTGTCCTTTCGTTGTTTTTCCATGAAACGCGGTTCTAGAAATGTCGTCTCTGGGATTTTATGCAGTATGTATTTGTAGAGGTCCCAGAAACTCACATGTCGTTAAGAAAAGGGAATCCTGGTTGTTCCTAGTACAATTAAACCACAATGTATCGACAATGCGTCTTAAAACGAGGTGATAGAGCTTCCACAGACGGGCGATGAAACAGCGACTCTCATTTTCAAAAGGATCGGATATGGCGCAATACGGCAAGGCATCGTACTGGGACGAGCGCTACACCAAGTGCGTCTTGGATGCATCATATGCTGATGCAGGGAATGCTATGGGATGACGACTCATGCGGTGTTGTAGGGACGCGGAACAGTTTGACTGGTACCAGCGGTATGCCGGGGTGAAGGACCTGGCGCTGCAGTACTTGAAGAAGACAGACAACGTGCTCATGTCCGGTGCAGGCAACTCCCGACTGAGCGAAGAGATGCTGAATGACGGGTTCCAAACTATTATGAACATCGACGTGTCCCAAGTCGTGATCGATCAAATGAGCAAAAAGTACGAAGGCCACGAAGGCATGCAGTGGCAGCAAATGAACGTGTGCTCGCTTTCGTTCTCGGACGAAACGTTCGACAGCGTCGTGGACAAGGGCACGATGGATTCAATTCTGTGCGGCGAAGGCTCCACGGCCAACGTGGCCAAGATGTGCCAGGAAATCTACCGCGTGCTCAAACCCAATGGCGTGTACTTCATCATTTCGTACGGCGTGCCCGATAACCGATTGAGCTACCTTGAAAACAACGAGCTGCACTGGAAAGTCACAGTCCACACAGTCCCCAAGCCCACGGTCAGCGCCGTCCAAGTCACCGACGCCGCCGATGCCAACGCTGTCCATTACATCTATGTGTGCCAGAAAGGCGTCAAGACCGAAGGCTAAACAAGTCCATCCTTATGTTCATCCCGCCGCTACCAATCTCACGATGATATTGAATGCGATGGCGGTAGCAGTGTGTACGCGATCGATTAAGTGTAAATCAATTCCTCGATTCACATCAGCATACTCTAATGCCACTCGAGTAAAACGAAGTCTTGGTGTCGACGATGCTGGATCGCGTGCTTCAAGGGGAAGTTCCATGGAAGTTGGTTGAAAGAACCATGTCCCGTTGGCCTTACTTGTCGTTCCATTGTTTCTTGCATCCCGTGCACTTGTAAAACGTTGTGGATGGTTCATCTGCAGAGCGGATTTGAATTTGCATAAAGTATGCCTTGGTGTGCTCGCAGAATGGACAGCGCGCTACAACACACACAGATCAGGTTGGACGTGGAAGCAAGCATGCGGTAGTGCTGTGGTTTACTGTCTGTTTGGTCCACATTTTCCCAAGCTTCGTCGCCTCCAAGCACGTCGTCCACTTTCTTTCGCTGTAATGGCACCTTTGTCTCCACCTAACCAACCATCGTAATGCACGGAAGCTGAATGCAAAAGTGTTGTCGAGTACCTTTTGGTTGATTTTGAAGATGTACGGACACGTCTGGCAGCAGAATCGCATGCCATCGCTCTACATGCAGTGCATACGTCAGGAGGTTCCTTCATGCACGTCAATCGCCATTGCTTACATCGGGCTCGACCATGAGCAGGTTGCCGCATGTTGGACAGAAGTGCATCCTCTTGCGCTGTGCACCAAACCACCGACTTGAGTGCTTTCAAAACAGACCAATCACGGACAACTCATTAGATTTTTGAGAAAACTGGTAGAATTTCAAAATAATACTATGGACGTATATATTAATATCAGACGTTTTGTATGAAATCTTTAGGTGGTGAACCGAAATATATATTTGCCAGATTTCCGGATAATATCCGAAACGCCACCGTTGGATCTTCTACTTTTTCACACAACCAGCTTGGACAGCGAATTCGATGAGCCATGCAACGAGACAAGAAGTGTTCTACTTTGAAGAGATCGTCGACAATGACAAGGACACAAAGACTACCGAGGAGACATACACGTTGTCGGAATGCCACGTGCTCAATGACACTAGCGACCTGCCATCCAAGCGTGGCGGGGCGACCTTGACCGCGGTTCGTATACGTCAAACAAGCACGAGTAACATCCTCATTCCATAGGTACTTGCCGCGCAAGGCAACACGTTGTTGTACTTGATCGGTGGTGCAAACCGTGCTGCGGAAACCTTTGGCGACGTGCATGTCTTTGACTGGGGTACAGACATGCTCAACATCATCATGATCCTTGTGTAACTGCATGCTCTTAACGCGTCCAATTCTTAGATGCAAAAAGATGGACGCAAGCTAAACCGTCTATCGGTAGCACGACGTTCACACCTCGCAGTGGACACACTGCTGTGGCGAGGGGCTCCCGCATCTACGTGTTTGGCGGCGCCAACCTCCGCGTCGGCGCAGTGTTCAACGACCTACATGTTCTGGACACAGGTACACCAAGATCTGTTTGCTTGGCATTCCATCGTCACCAATGCGTAGATACAATGACGTGGTCGCAGCCCGAGGTCGGCGGGGACGTGCCGCCTGCGCGCAACTCGCATGTGGCGGTGGCCACGGACAAAGGCATGGTCGTCATCGGCGGGTCGTCTCCTCAAGTAGGCGCCATGAACGACGTGTATCTCCTTGCATGGGACGACGACATGAGTTGGCGCCGCATCCGTCCATCCTCGTCAACGGTCATGTCCAAGCGGGAACTGCATGCAGCCTGCGCAATCCACGACCGCATCCTTGTCGTGGGCGGTCGATCCTCGTCTGGCATCCTCTGTGACGACGTCTGCGAGCTCCACACAGGTACACATACAGTATCCCCCATCCCCCTTCGTCCCATTCATTGTTTCATGTTGCACTAGACTCATGGACATGGACGATTACGCCGCTTACATCGTGGCATCGATGTGCGCATGCCGCGGGGGTGCTAGGCGGCACCCACTGGGTGCATTTTGGCGGATGGGGCGGCGGCCACGACTTCCTCAGCGACTGCTGGCAACTGCCTGTCCGGCCCGCCGCTTGCCACGACAATGGTACGTCCAATCTCATGTACTGTACATTCCCGTTAGAAAACGACTGATGGGGTCGGCGTCGGTACTAGTAGGAATCGCAGGACCACCCACCAGCCCAACTACTCTAAATGCGATCGAGCCCTGTCAAACTAGTATGCATCCCGTGCCTCTGCAAGTCGTACATCGCCACTCGCCACCGCCGCCGCCACTCGAAGAAACCCCCCACATTGTCGACGTGGCACTTGTCGGCTCCGAAGAGGCGGGTCTCGTCGGTCGATTTGCGCACTGCGCATGCGTTGTGGAGGACGCAAGCTTGGTCATGTTTGGCGGCATGACCACCGACGCCGACCTCCACGACCTCTGGGTCCTCACTCGTCTGCCCGCCAACACCACGTAACCAGCCACCCAGCCAGGTTTAGTTCAATATGTACTCGAGAAATACAATACCAGATATATACTATTATATCTTTTCGACATCTAGAAGCTCCTTGAACAGGTCGTATGTGGTCAAACTGATGCCTGTCAAGAACGGTCCCTATGGTGACAATTCATGTGAGTGAAGTAAATTTCGATAGATGAGCCCTCACACGCATCCACGTGACGGTTGCCCCCTTGTAAAACCCGCGGAGCCCTTCCTGGTCGAGGATAATCTTGCATGTCGTGCGCATGTTGATGTACTTGCGCGCGTCCGTGGCGCCGGTCACGTACCCGTCTGTTTGGATGCGCCTTCGTACAGTGTCCAGAGGATACGTGACTAGGCCAAATAGGCAATAAATAAAATACAGCATACTTCAATATATGTGCTGTAAAGGAGGTTACCAGTTTGGGCAATAGACCCGGCCAAATAGCTGCACATAAACTTGGAGAATGGCGATAACTGGTACGAGTCGGGGTTGGCTGGCGCAAAGAACTCGTGCTGGAACTCGAGCATGCTCTGCTTGAACCGTTCGTTGAGCGAAAACCCAATTCCAGTGTACGGTACAATCCCCACAAGGTTCACAAATAGCCCGCGACTGAACGACCGCAGCCCCTACCCACGAAATATAGGATCCATGTCGTTCATACAACATGATATATTATCATCATGTAAACCAAAGGAGTACATATATATATACTTGAAGTATGTTTTATGTAAGTTAGTTGTGAAATATAGAAAATAGATTTAAAATATAACGACCGATGCATACAGTAAGGACTGTAGGTGCGTTGTTGTGGCTGGATGATCATATTGTCAAATCGGGAGCCCTCAGCAGATTCGAATGTCGTTAGAGAAGGGATGATTCAAGAACCACCTAAGCCAATCAAATCGCGTTCTGGTACATTTCTGCCAATCAAATCGCGTTCTGGTACATTTCTGCCAATCCAAACGTTTGACTCGGCTCAGTTCGGCAAAACCGTACATAGACTAATCTTTTTATAGTATGGTTCGTACAAGATTAAATTCGATCAAAAGGGTTCGAATGCTATTTGGCGAAATGACCCACATGCCCGAATTTGCGTGAAATGCACAATACCTCGACCCATTTATATAATTCACAGTACAATAGGACAAAAGAATATAATAAACAATTACAATGTGTTATGATCATGAAATATTGTGCTTTTCAGTCAAATTCGCCTATGTTGGGGGATTGATGAAATCGCCAACTAATCGAGCAAAGGAGCATGATTGGCTACAAAGAATGCAGGTTGCAAGTTGATTGGCTCAAAAAGATTGATTGTAGTATTGCAATCACAAAGATACCTCTTCAACTTCGTTTTATATGAAATTTCGAACGTCCGGCGATTGTATTCAACCAACCGAGGGAGGAACTTTTGAGAACACACAATATGACAAACAATTAAGAACACATACATCATGGCCGAAATGCATCCAGTAGATGGGTCGTTGTTGCCGGATAAAAGATCTCGTCCGTGTATTGTCGATTTGATATACAAATATGGGGAGGGGGTGCAATCGAATCGCGCCGACCACAATCGATCTGATTGGTTGAATTTCATTGAGAAATGGTTTTTGATTGGCTAATAATTTTGAGCTTATCTGAGGTAGCCAATCAAATCGATTTAAATTCCAACGAGAAACCACGCCACAACACGAAATTTCACTCGAAAGCACAATAGACCTCGGCCGATTTCAAATTCATAGTACTACAGTAGTACAACACACAATGTAATAAACGATTATAATTTGTTCATGGTCATTTAAAAGAAAATCAATTTTACAAATACCACGACCGATATACACCGCAAGTAGTAGGTGGGTTGTTGTTCATGATGATCTGTGACCAACATACCTCTGCTTTGTACATGCACTTGACTGCATCAAACACGTTGGTGTACTTGATCTTGCCTTGCTGCACCATGTACCGCGTGCGCACGACGTCGATGGGGTACGTGCACATGGTCGAGAGCATGCCTAGATATATATATAAGCAAGGAACATGAGCATGCATGTAGGCTGAACGGAATGCAAACAGTGTCCTTGGAAGGCGTAGCGCTGTTCCTACTCCAACGTGAAAGAGAAACGCGTACGTACCGGCGAGGGAGCCGGACGCGATGAGCTGGGCGTTGGACAGCTTCTTCACGTACGGAGTGTTGCCGTGGTGGTTGCTGCTGTTGGCGTCGTGGAACCGCCGACGGATGTAGTCAAAGGACGAGTGCTGGATGCCCGCCGACATGAATACCTTGACCAGGTTGATCGTGTTGCCTCGGAATAGTGCTTGGACGCCTACGAAACAAATTGGACGTTAACACGACGACTTGGGGCGTTCGTACGTACCATCTCGTTTTGCAATGTCCACGCCCATGTGCAGCGCATTCCGCAGAGAAAAACGCAAGTGATCGCTCACTTGGAAAAGAAGCTTGATGCGGTCCACGGGCGACAGCATCGACTTGGCAATCACGCCAGCCAACCCTCCCGCGATGAAGGACCGGAGTTCCGTGGACGTGGTCTCTTCTGGGATGGCGGCGGCGGTGGCGACCGACGACGGCGACGTGGTGGCGGTGTCGGCGGCGGTCGGCGTGGCGTCGGCGTGGTGCGAGCTGGGGCTGGGCGGGAGGTCGAGCATGAACATGCCGTCAGTCTCGTTGACAAGGCCGAATTCTGGGAAACAGCTTTATTGCCTCATGAGGCACAGCCTCATCCGAATATTATCCGGAACAATCCATGTCCTACAGTACCTTACAATGTTAACCACTCGTGTGCTGGATATTACATGACTTATCCGGATACAGTGACCTTTGGAGGCATTGTACAGTGTACGTGGCCATCATACTATTCACACTATTTTCATTCGCATACTCTATTTAGGTGCAATTTGTGCAGGGATTGGATACAGTAAGTTCTTCTCTGTGTCGATTCATTCGCCATGTCGGTCCAGCGTGAACACCATCACTACCTAGAGATGGGGCGGCTTGCATGGAGTTAGTTTACTCATTGTGGCGGAAGAGGGGCAGCTGTTCGAACGGCCCACTAGTGACTTTCCAATCAAATTAGCCAAAATCCCCCCCACTTCGGAGAATTCGTATGGAATTTTGTATGCAATGAGACATGTGTCCCCAGGATTCGCCCGTTTCTGCAAACTCGATTTTGATCTCGCATGATGATTGCCGACACCCGAACCATCGTTGCATGCTACATCCATGCCCTGAAACAAGTGCTACCTCATGGTCAGTGTACAGGTACATCAAGCCGTGTGCTAGTGCTGATGTGTTTGAAGTAGACTCCCACTTGAAGCAGTTGGAGCAAATGCTCGTGGACGAGAAAGGCGCCGCCGTCAAAGCGGAATCGATCTTGTTTGGTGGAACCCGCCTTCGATGTGAAGACTTGGAGTCCATGTTGGACACCCTCATGACTAAAGTACGTGTTGGTTTCTTGATCACTGTCCCCTTGCTAAAATGTCTTGTCCATAATAGCACATGGGGACGACATTTCATTTCCGTGACGACGTGTTCGATGCCATGAGCGAAGTTCGCCAGCATGAGCAATTGCTCTGCAGCTTGGAAGAGTACATCGAAGCCGATTTACCCGCAAAGGAACGTTTCCTCACCGTCAACTGTGCGCACATGCGTACCCTGATCGTTGTCATGATGAACTACCTCAAGGCACAGATGCAGTCAACGTTCGACGTCGCCGCTCAAACAGACCATGTCCTCGGTCCGTACCGTCGGAATCTAGCTCGCGCCAAAAAGACCCTTCGAAATCTACATCACTTCCTCGTTAATCCGTCAAATGAGTTGGACGTTGACGCGAAACTCGCTGCGTTGGACGCCGCCATGGCACACGCGCACGAGCATGACTTTACCTTCGACCCGACTGTCTTCAACTTTGGCCGAGAGGCCCTTGTCGATGGCATGCAGCAAATAGTTGACGAGTGGACGAACGTGGCGCGACAAGTCCGCACGTTCAAGAGGATCCGCCAGGGCCTGAGTCCTGCCACGAGTCCTCTGTCCATCAATTCCACATCTTAAAAACTATTTATCCTTCCACGGATCATAATAAAATAATAATGTTAAATATACTAGTACTTGGCAAATATTCCTACCAGCGACCTTCACACATCGATTTCACTACTGCTACAAGCTACAGAGTCCTCTATTTATGAAGCTTCCAGTCGAGATAGCCACATACTGTCTATATATGATGATGTACAGGTGTAGGTAGTTATGTTAAATGGTTTGGCACTGATACTTCCAGATACAGGCAAAGCAATCACCGCTTCCCGTGGCAAAGTACGGCGACGTCGGCGACGAGTGGACGTTGATCACCGAGTTGCGATAGCCGCCTACAGTCAACACTGGCCGCGACGTGCGGTGGTCCCAAAAGATCACAGACCGGTCCTTTGAGCCACTCATGATCCACCTATCCAAACCATCAGCACCACAAATAAAGCAAGCAGTCATAACGTGAATTAACATACCGTCCATCAGGAGTGTACGCGACAGACAACACGAAGTCCTTGTGGCCTTGAAATAACATGCGAGGACGAGTCGTAGTGCGGCCAGATGCAGATACATCCCACAACATGATGTTCTTGTCCAAGGAGCCAGAGATGATGTTCTTGCCGTCAGGAGAAAACGCCAACGCGTACACAGAATCCGTGTGGGCTTCCAACCGGTCCATCAGCTGCGTGGTTTGGGTGTCCCAGATGCGCACGACCTTGTCTAAAGACGCAGCCGCCAACAGACGGCCGTCGGGAGACAGCGCCACGTTCGTCACGCCGTCCGACGGTCCGCCGCTTTCGTTGCCGAAAATGGCTTGGCACTGACCCGTACGCGCGTCCCAGAGTCGCACCTTTCGATCCCCCGACCCAGATACGATGTGGTTGCCCACGTAATCCAACGAGTAAATCTCCGCCTCGTGGCCGATGAGCGGTGGCGCCTCTTCGTTCGACGCCATGTCCCAAATGCGAATGGTGTTCTGGGGCATGCCAGCCACCAACTTCGTACCGTCCGGAGAAAAGCACACCGCACGGACGTACGCGTCCTCGGCCTCGTTTGCCTGCGCCGCGCCTTCCTTGATGGCCGGCCGTTGGACCCAGAACGTACGAGCTCCAGTCTGCACGTCGAAAACTTGGGCCGTCTTGTGGCACCCAGACGCCAACTTTGTCCCGTCCGCCGAGAACCGCACGCAGCATACCACGCTCTGGTGGTCCAACGTGTGGAACATCTCGACATGGGGACGCTCCGTGTCCGCAACCCCCGTACCTTTGTTGGAGTTGGTGTAATTCAACGCCCACTTGACCTTGCTTTGCTTGGCGGCAGCCGCGTTGTTGAAGTTCGGAGTCGACGCACCCGTCGATGGGGCGCTAGTCGACGAGCCTGGGGGCGTAGTTGGTCCATTGTTGTTCGACGACGACGAAGCATCAGGACCGTTGTCCGACGAGTTGATTTTGCTCAAATGATGCATCTTGTGCGAAGTCGATGGCAGCGGCAGTCCTTGGGCCGACCCAGACGACAAGACACCTCCAGACAACACATGGCTCGGTTGGTTGGACGACAGTCCACCGTTCGAGGGGCCGCTCTTCGACGACTTGCCCTCCGAGCTGTTGGCGGACTTGCTCTTCTTGAGCACTGGCGACGAGTTTGCCGACCCTTCGCCTCCCATGTTGTTGTTGTTGCTGCTGGCAGGACCAGGGGGGCCTGGCATCTGCATGCGCCGGCTCTCGCTCTTCGAGTGGCCAAGGTTGTCTCGGTCCGTCAGTTGCTGACGGTCTCGAAGGTCGTCACCCGACCGGCCGTCCAGATCGTTGTTGCGCGAGGACAACCCAGGGATGGGACCACGGCGACCCGTCGGCGTATGCAGTGACCCTTCCAATGGCGCCAACGACTGCGGCTGCATGGGGCGCTCTTGGCTGCGGTCCGACGGACCAGGGTGCTGTTGTTGCATCGAGCGAGGGCGGTCACGGTCGTCCAAGCCGGAAGGCCGGCCCATCTGAGGCGCAGGAGCCACACGCACTGGACTCGTGCCGCGCGGGCCTCGAGACGGAAGCATGGGAGGCCCCCCCGTGTTTACTTGAAGCGGCGGCATCGACTGCTGGCCGTTCGGGTCGTCGCGGGGCCGCTTCTGCTGCTGCGTCGGCGGCATCATCTTGCCGCCTTCCAACTGCCGACGCAACCGAAGGATGTCGTCGTCGTACTGCTGACGAATACGGCGCTGGTTCTGCTCCAACGCCTTGATGGTTTGCTGGATTTGATCCATCTCTGCCACCTGCGCCGTGATCTTGCGTTCCAATTCCATGTTTTCGATCTTGCTGATGTTCAGCTGCTGGAGCACGCTTTCAAACTCGTTCTTCGCGCTCTCCAGCATCTCCACGACGCGCGACGCACCGCCTCCCGACATTTGCTGGGGGCCCGCGTTTTGAACTCCTACGTTGGGGTTGTTGCCCATACCCATCGAGGAAATCGGGATGTTCCCGCGAATGTCGCGCATGTCGCTGTGTCTCAAATCCCCGCGACCCAATGACCCGACGCCACCGACCGACTGCGGGCCGTTCGGAACCCCGCCGCCGCCGACACCCACATTCACTGGGTTTGGGTTCACTCGACGAGGAACGCTTCCTGGTGCACCACTTCCGGGGTACATGATGTTGAATGCGATGTTGCTTTGATCTACACGTATAAATCATTGTGTGAGTCACTTCCATGCTGCATCATTTGCGTGGAGAAAGGACGGTCCTCTCGTCGCTCGATGGGAAAAGCCGAACACACTGGTCGTGGGTTTCGGACGGAACCCCACCGCCCTATCCCTCGGCAAAGTGTCGTCCTGTATGCTATTCCCTGCGATCTATCGTCCTCACCTGTTGAATGCTTCCTGGTCGAATGCACGCGTAGGGAGGCCTTCTTCGTTGACTGCTCGCCTTCGAGGTGCGGTACAGAGGTTTGTGGTGCAGAGTAGAATTCGAGTATTGCTGAGGTCAAGTTCGCCCTATCTCTGATTGAGCTTGATATTAGTATGGTATAATTAGTATAGGAATTGTATACTTCCATCCCGCCTGCTTCCTGTGTCCGATCTGACTTGTGGTTTGTATGTGAATGTGAACTTGCAATAGGTCTGTACCGTAGTAGTGAAACTTGGGCCACGTCGACTATCCGGATAATGCCGTCTTGTCATGAAAATGTATACAAAATGGAAGTATAAATTGAAGAACTCTCGATTATCCGTACTGAAGGATGTGGTCGACTGGATGGAACGGACCTTGAAAGGAAGTCACAGGCGGGTGGGATGTATACAATTCGATCCGGCATTCGGCATGTGATGCATGCGTCGAAGTCACCACTGAAATCAGCGACGCGAATGTTTCGGAGATTGTTCAACTGCTGAAGGAATTGTCAAGTACTGCACTGTGTATGTATGTATCTTTGTTCGATGCTCTTCGTCGGCTTAATGCGCTTCACAATCCACAGTAGATTGGACACTTAAAGTGGGGAGTTCTCGATTGCCAAAGTCGAATTGCATTGTAATTCAACCAACAACAGCAATTACACTTCCGACATTGCAATTGGTCCTTTCCATAAGCCACCGCACGATGCGTCCATGCTTTGGCCGGCATAAATTCAGTTACCCACATATCCAAACATACATTTCCCATTACAGTATGTTAAATAGTTTGACACTGGTACTTCCAAATGCATGCAAAAGCATCCCCGCTTCCCGTGGCAAAGTACGGCGACGTCGGCGACGAGTGGACGTTGATCACCGAGTTGCGATAACCAGTGACGCTTAACACCGATCGTGACGTTCGGTGGTCCCAAAAGATCACAGACCGGTCCTTTGAGCCACTCATGATCCACCTATCCAAACCATCAGCACCAAAAATAAAGCAAGCAGTCATAACGTGAATTAACATACCGTCCATCAGGAGTGTACGCGACAGACAACACGAAGTCCTTGTGGCC